ATGGCCATGCAATCAAACACGGTCTTGCCAACGAAATATAGGACATATAAAAAGTTGAGCGCCGGGGTTATTCTTAGCCCGTACGCAGCGTCTATGCGAAAAAATGCCACCGCCTCTCTCCTCGCGCGCCGCGCGCGCGTTCACTCTCGTTCTCGCTCACGCTCCTCCTTTAACTCTTGCATAACTCTCACTCGCTAATGTTTACACGTGAATATTCGATTCTCTGTTTTGCAGCGGTCGACCGCTGACTCAGCGGAAGAGTCTAAGGAGAGGGGGAGAAGGGAAGGGAAGGGGAGAAGGAGAGGGAGAAGGGGAAGGGGAGAGGGGATAGGGACGAGGAGAAAGTCGTAGAGGGGAGAGGGGAAACGGATATAAAGAAGCGAGACAAGGGAGTCAGGCGTAGATAGAAAGTGGAAAAGAAAAGACAGAAGAGTTGGCGAAAGAACGGAAGCAAAAGAGTGAGTAACGTTGAGAGAGAGACCAGAAGAGAGAGAGAGAGAGAAGAGAGAGAGAGAGAGAAGAGAGAAGAGAGCAGAGAAAGAAGGGCGCGCGAACAGAGTGAGAGGGGGAATAGCGCGCACGCGATAGAGAGACGGCGAGCGGAAAGCGAGTGAGACGAGCAACGATAGCACGCGAAAGAGAGCGATGGAAGAGAGAAAAGAGAGAATAAGAGCGCGCTCGAGAAACAGAGACGCACAGAAAGAGCGACAAAGAGAGCAAAAGAAATAGAGAGAGACACAGAGAGAGAGAGAAAGAGACAGAGAGAGGGAGAGAGAGAGACAGAGAAAGAGAAAGAGAGCGCGCGCGAGAGAGAGAGACAAAGAGAGGGAGAGAGAAACAGAGAGAGGGAAAGAGAGACAGAGAGAGAGAAAGAGAGCGCGCGCGCGCGAGAGAGAGAGACAGAGAGAGGGAGAGAGAGACAGAGAGAGAGAAAGAGAGCGCGAGAGAGAGAGAGAGAGAGAGAGACAGAGAGAGGGAGAGAGAGACCGAGAGAGAGCAAGAGAGCGCGCGCGCGAGAGAGAGAGACAGAGAGAGGGAGAGAGAGGAGAGGGAGAGAGAGACAGAAAGCGAGAAAGAGAGCGCGCGAGAGAGAGATCTAGAGAGGGAGAGAGACAGAGAGAGAGAGAGACAGAGAGAGGGAGAGAGACAGTGAGAGAGAGAGAGGGAGAGATCTAGAGAGAGGGAGAGAGAGAGAGAGAGGGAGAGAGACAGAGAGAGGGAGAGAGAGAGAGACAGAGAGCGAGAAAGAGAGCGCGCGAGAGAGAGATCTAGAGAGAGGGAGAGAGATGAAACGTATAAAAACCAACGTAATGTTGCCTGGAGAACATGTGTGCGTTTGTCTCGCGCGCCTGCCCGCGTCTATCAAGACCCCCCCCCTCCCTCCCCGCGCCGCCGCTGCCGCCAACACCACGTACAGTGCGCTCACTGTCGTCGGCAGGGGACGACGTCGATGACGATAGCAGCACGGCAAGGACCAACGACGCCGCGACCGAGGAGTGACGTCACTCTGACGTCGGCAGCCGACGAGAAAAGGGGCGATGGAATGCGTCGTCGTCGTCGTCGTCGTCGTCGTCGCGGTATTTTTATGGGAATACGGAGATGGGTGGCGGTGGGGTTCTACTGCGGTGGTGCGGCCCACACTGATCTTCTCCCTCTCTCCCTCTCTCCCCCTCTTCTCCTGTTCTCCTCTTCTCCTCTCCCTCTCCCTCTCTCCCCCTCTTCTCCTTTTCCTCTCTCCCCCTCTCCCTCTCCCCCTCTTCTCCTCTTCCCCTCTNTCTCTCTCTCTCTCTCTCTCTCTCTCTCTCTCTCTCTCTCTCTCTCTCTCTCCCTCTCGTCTCTCTCTCTCTCTCTCTCTCTCTCTCTCTCTCTCTCTCTCTCTCTCTCTCTCTCTCTCTCTCTCTCTCTCTCTCTCTCTCTCTCTCTCTCTCTCTCTCTCTCTCTCTCTCTCTCTCTCTCTCTCTCTCTGTCTTTCTCTTTCTCTCTCTCTCTCCTCTCCCTCTCCCCCTCTCTCTTACGCTCTCTTCTGATTACTGACTATCGTATGACCTTTAATCTGTCGATGTGTCACCCGGAATCAGCAATATGTCCACACAATCAGCCTGCATCACGACAGAATAGGTTACTATTCGCGTTTTACAACCGGAAGCGGAAATAACAACCTCGTAACCAATAGGAAAATTTATTTAAATTTCCGCACGCAGCTTCCATATTGGTTTATCACAGCCTTTAGTTATTTTCTAAAAAAATCCCCTCGTATGTTATTATTGCAGGCCAACACACTTACGCACGAAATACGAAATAACTATCGCTACACACCTACGCAAATGCATATTAATAATATATATACATTTATATATTCGCTTCATCATATATACGGTATCATTAATAATACTAAATCTGTGGGTTGGCACGAAAATAGTCAACGTTGTTTGTAACACAAGCTTTGCTATGATTTCTGCTCTTACATGCTGTATAAAAATAGACCGAGATTACGATAAGCAGCTACTACTGACAACGTATCAAGTGTTGTCCTTCAGATGTATATATATATATATATACAGACATATATGTACATATATATATATATATATATACAGACATATA